AAGTTGAAGCTGGTCATCAGGACTGTTTCCTGTGACAGCGCAGCGGAAGCAATAGTTGGTTTTGGGTGACGCTGCATTAGAAATGGAAGACATGAACCGGTCTAGTAAGTAAACTCAGTATTAAAAAAGACTAATATAGCTAGAAATATGTGCTTTAATTGATTATGCTGTAATTATTGTTTTCAAATAGTTAGTTTTTGAACCGGTCTAAAACGCAGCGTCGCTTTGTTTGCTTGTTGTTTGCAGTCTCGCCGTTTTCCTGCTTTAGCCTCAAGGTTTCGCAGCTAAAACCGAGCTTGAATGAATGAACAGAAGCGGCTGTTATAAAGCTGTATCATAAATTTCCACTGTTCATTGGTTGTAGGTTATTAATTTTTGTGCTTCTTGTGCTTGCAGGGTTGTTTCTCCTCGTTCTGTGTGTGGCTGGAGCTCAGTCGCTCACACCGTCTCACCACTTGTCCCTGTCGGATGTGGGCCGACTGCAGAGCCTCCTGAGCCGGCCCTTCACCGACCTGCAGTCTGCATACTACTCTGTTGTTGGCCTCACTAAACTCGGAGTTGCTGTTCCTGATCACCAAGTAAATATTTACTGTTTTTATTTATTTCTTTTTTCATGACAGGATGTTAGAAATGAGCATTGAGCAACACTGAATTAAAATGAACCTAAACATTTTTTTAAATGAAACACAGCAAACGAACCACATCCATTCATGTCAAACAGCAACATGTTGTCTTTTGTTATTGTGAACATACTTTAAGATGATGTCATTCCTGTGCTTGCATACAGAAATGAAAAGTGTTTCGTTTAAGTAAATGTTTAATTTCATTTGAAGCTTAAAGCCATCAAGCTGGCTGTCCTAAAAAGATACAATTTAATGTTTGTGGTGTTTTTTATTTACTCATTTCTCTGTGCGTTTAATTTTTAATATGACAGATGATTCTTTTCAGTTCAGTAAATCTAATCTTCATGTTTACTTATAACTCTGACTGCTGCTATTTCTGTAAAAATGTCTTTTTTTAGGAAGTGTGCCAGTTCCTGAAGTCTCAGCTCAACCCCAGCAGTATTGATTCCCTGTTTTTCGCTGGTGAAACCAGTAAAGCCATTTCAGGATGTGAGGTATGAAAATGAGATTTTCTTTCTTTCTTCATCCTCAGATCAACCAACAGTTATCTCAGACTGCTGGACAGCACACCAACACAAACTAAAATTTTACAGATGCACAATGTCCAGTTTTGTGGTCTTATCCTGATTTTAGATATTTGTGCAGCTCTACTTGCCAATACAGATTTTTCTTTCCAGTACTATTTATTTTAAAGAATTAGAATTCACAGAATGAAAAATATCCACCCATTTTCTTTACCCATGTTCCAGTGCATGGTTGCAGAGCTGGTGCATTTCAGTTCAAAATATATTTATAAAAAATGTTTGATTCAAGAAAAATAAGCCTTTGTGTTTTATCAGTCTGTCTCAACCTGCTGCGCTTTAGTCTTTAGGATTTAGTGTGTGGAGGGGAGCTTTAACATGTCCTAACATAAAGTTAAAGTGCTGAGGGACAAAATTACAGAGACTTTCACACTGCTGCTCAGACAATGGAAATGATCAATAATAATAATAATTAATGATGATGCCAATGGCTGCAGAAAAAGTTTTACCTGTAAGGTAAGATGAGGGGTCATTCATAATTTAACATTTTCAAAATTGTACAAAACATATTATTTTTGGAAAAACAATTTCCCCTCTTTAAAAGCAGACAGAAAAATGTTGACTTTCACAAAACCTGATTTCTCTTTAAAGGAGACAAATCACACAAGATTCAGTTTTTAGCTGTTAAATGCATTTAGTTGTGGACATGGAGTCTCTAGCTGTCTTTCCTGGTGTTGAATAGACATTTCTATGTTCTGTTTGAGTCATATTTTCCAGCCTGTTCAATTTTCTCTATTTTTATGGCGTTTTCTGAACTATTGTGTCAAAGTATTTGCGATGGAACAGATATATAAGGTCTGGACTCATCAACTAATTTGTTTTGTCTTAATTCTCTTCTTGTTCACATCTGTTTTCTTGAAAAACTTTTTTTTTATTTCTTCAAGGATCCTGTGTATCATTTCTATCTATTTGTTTCTGTGTTGAGCAGAAGAAAAGATTTCCTTCCAGTATGACTTCAGTAAACCCACATGTATTTATTAGGGGTGTAAGAAAATATTGATACACTGAAATATCGCGATATTTCA